GGATGTAAATGTTGAGGAACTCTGCGGGGCAGCCTGGTGTTTCCACACTCACCAGGTCCGAGAGCACATGGTAGCCTGCCCATAAAGCAGGAGGGTTTGCTGGGCCAGCCGTAGGCCATGCTCTTCCCTGCCTCAGGTATGGAGTCCCCACCACCCCCATCCCCTACTCCAAGCTTCAGAATAGTCGTCTCCTATTATGGGCAAGTCCAAGCCCTGACCTCCACATTCCCTCCTGATTCTGTCTCTCTTGGCCTGCCTGTGCCTACACCTGCTCTAAGATGTTGTCATTGTCAGTTTGGCATTCTCCTTGGTAACAGGGAGGTGTTCAGCGATGACGCCTCAGTAGGCAGGGTTGTCGGCACTAGCTCCAACATGCAGCTAGGAGCCTCCCTGAAGGCCTGCAGCCTAGCAGGAAGTCACATGGGAGCTAGCATGGACAGCCAACATGGCCAGTAGGAGCCATCATTGTTGCAGCGACCCCTTGTCACTGAGCTTATGACACCTAACACCCCCATAGTGCCCTGTCTGCGGCAGCTAGAACCCTTCTCTCGGTATGTTAGGGGCAGCAGTGTCCTAGGGACAGTTCTATCCATCTGCTTTATTCTTATCCTTTTTAATGGCTTCCTCTTCCATCTCTCACCCCCACCTTTGATCTTCCATAGTATCCTTTCTCATCCCCTGACTCCTTAAGCACTGAAGTGTCCAGCTGACCCCCACTGGCTATGCTCCTCCAGGGCTGAGGTTAGCTGTAGTGTGTAGTTTTGTCTATAACGCTTTTGTTCCTGACCAGCCAGTTGCATGTGAGTAAACACAGATTCCCTATCAAAACATCAGAACCATCCCCCTACAGCTCTCACCAAAGAAGACACCCAGGACTGTACGGTTCCGAAGAGATGGCTGCCCTGAAGGACCTCTCATGACCCTATTGCTGAGCTGTCGGGGGTTAGGCAGGTAGGGTTCTTTCAAGGGCTGGTAGACACCATCTGCATAGCTGGCTGGAACGAGACGCTGTAGCCGAGAGCCTGGCATAGGAGAGGTAAAGACAAGGATGAATTTCAATTGTGAGTCTGTCTGTCTGTCTGTCTGTCTGTCTGTCTGTGTGTCCGTGAATGTGAGTGTATGAGCCTGCAGAGACCAGAGGCATCAGAACCCCTAGACCTTGACTTACAGGTAATTTGACTTGCTGGGAATAGGTGCAGGGATATGAAGTCCGGTCTTCTGTAAGAGCAGCACCGTACTCTTAACCACTTAGCAATCTCTGTACCTCAAGAGCATTCTTTACCTCTTCTGTCCCCTAGATATTGTCAGCCTTTGGTAATACTTGAGATAGCCTCTTGTGATGCTTGCCAGCCCTGACTCTCCACTGGTGAGCACCACCCTGGCCCTTGGACTGTGCCTTCACCTACCTTTGCTGCCCCATCTGTGCTCCATGGGGTTGTTATACCATCCATCAAATCGCTGTACCTCCCAAGAAATGGAGTTCTGAGCTCCTGTGTGAAGATGAAAGGAAGGAGGTAACTGGGCAAGTGCATGCAGGGAGGCCAAGCAGGCTACAAGAGAACAACAGGTCCTATGATTCCAATAAGAGGCAGAAACAAGGGCAAAGTATTTTCTAAACTCAAGTCTACTCTTCAAGGCACTCAGTGAGGAAGACTCCTAAAGTGGGACACTGTGCATCAGCGTGCAGCGCCTGGTGCCGAACGGCCTCAGGAGGGAAAACAGTGGCACTCCAGAAGAGGAGGCAGAAGCTTGGGGTTCCCTCGCATCTCAAGTCCTTGGGAGACACAGCAGGGCAAACATCATCCTCAGCCCTCAGACACCTACCGCTTGGAACAAGAGCCAGCCGCACCCTCTAGCAGGGAAAGACACTTCATTCTGTGACCCATCCATCACTGGGCAGGGGCAATATGAAGAAGGGCTTAGCGCTTTCCCACTCAGCAGAGCCCCAAGGCAGGGCTGTGTTACTGCTGCTCTACTCTGGTCTTTCTGCCCATTTCTTGGGTGAGACCAAGGACTGACCCTGTGAATGACGTTGCTCCATCCTCCTTTGGAACACCTTGTCACTCATCTTTGTCCTGTTCTTTTTCTTTTCCTTAAGATTTATTTACTTTATGCATGCATACATGTCGAAGTACCACATGCATGTCTGATGTCTACGGGGTCCAGAAGAGGGCTACTGACCCATTGGAACTGGAGTTATGGACAGTTATAAACTGCCATGTCAATACTGGGAACTGAACCCAGGTCCTCTGGACAGCCAGCATGCTTAACTGCTGAGCCTTCTCTCCAACCCTAATTCCTGTTTATGATGCTACTCTAAAAACTCACAGCCCACAAGGCGACACTCGGCTGTTGAGGGAGGGGAAGGAGTTGTTGAGGAAGCAAAACAAGAAGGCAGGGTCTAGAATCCTCTTGGTCAGTATATCAGGTGACCAGCCAAACACACTCCCCTAAAAAACAACTAGACTTCTCTTCTACTCACCTGAGAGAACAGAAAAAAGCAAGAGGGGCCCCATTGTTCTGAATGTCCTTAGACCAAAGACAGGATTTTCAGGCTGTGGGGGATGTGTGCTGTCACTGACACATGAAGATGCACAGACAGACACTCATCAGGAAGGAAAATGACTTCACCTGGCCTAGGATCTAGGGCAGTAAGACAGTCACACACACACACACACACACACACACACACACACACACACAAGATCTCCAAAATAAGATGAATTGTAGCAGGCCAAGGGCAGTAGCCTTTGGAGGGAGTATATCTTGGGGATAAGAGGCACAAACTGGGAGAAAAAATGAAGCCTCCGGAAGAGAAAGTACTGGAAAGAACTGAAATGTGAGCAGCTTTGGCAAGGGAGAAGTGTGGGGTCTGTATCACTCTCTCTCTGTTGCCAGCCAGGAGGGTTATCTTCATTTATCATCTCCCAAGATGCAAAAGGCTTCCAAAGATGCTGTTGTTTGCTTGTTCTGAGTCAGTCTTAAGTAGTCCAGACTGACCTTGAACTCATGTACTGGAGGATTACCTTAAATTATTGATCCTCTTGCCTCTACCTCCAAAGTGCTGGCAAAGCCACCATTCCTGGATAGAAGTTGGCTCTACTAAACCTAACCTGTAATATCATGCATCCACTTTTCTCTTCAGAGCCCTGCACTACAGCAAATAGACACTGGTTCCAAAGCCCTCAGACTTCCAAAGCTGGAACTGCTGTGGGTTATATTGTGTTCTGATGCTATTATTTTATTTTATGCTTTTTTTCAACACTAAGTATGAAACCTAGGGCCTCATATGTGCTGGCAAATGCTCTACCACCAAATTATACCCCTGTTCCAAGATCATTTTATTTTAAAAACACCGGTCAGTCCTTTTTAGCTTTGGGTCCAGTTTTACTCCAAGAAGCTTTATTGTCTTTGGTGTCTACTCAGTCTTTCCTATTTTAAGTCAGGAGAACTTACCTCATAAAACGGGATAGAAGACGGAGAGAAAGGGACTCACACTAGAAATCATTTTCATTCTATTGTCTACACATTTACCCAACATCTAGAAACAAGCACCTGGCATTTACAGGGAATTCTATCTGCTGGAGGATGCAGAAACGGTTGACACATCTTTGTAAACGACCAGAGGACTTTGGTTCCTCTGATCCTGTGCAGCTCCTTTAGTCTGTACTCACCCAAAGAAGCCAGTGTCCCAACCAGGAGGATCCAGGCCAGAGTTAAGGGGAACCCCATGATGAAAATGGTAGTGGGGGACTGAATGTTGGAATACTTCAAAACAGGGACCTAGAACAACCGAGGATAGAAGGATGAGCCCAGGTCTTCAAGACAATCATGATAAGGTGGGGCCCCTAAGAGTCAAGACTGGGGAGTTGGGCTTGGGGAGCAAAAAGCAAGAGACTCACTCTCTCAGACGGCCTCTAGTTCATCCAATGAATACCTGACCAACACATGCTGTGTACAGAACTGACCTTGGCTCTAGAGCCAGTGAAGAACAGAACAAAACCAACCTTGCCCTTGTGAATTTCAGTTTCTGAGTACTTGAATACCCTTGCTTTGGCCCAGCTGCCCACAGAGGCTGCTCCATTGCAGGAGCCCAGGCTTGGGAAGAGGGAGCTGAGGAACTCAGCTGAGGTCTCAGGTCTGCTGTACATCCTCTGTAAGATCTGAGGTAAACCATTTATCTGATCCAACCCTTATCACCCTCTCCTAGCTGAGATGGGGAGCATGCCTGAACTGTTCACTTCGCAGCATGGTCAGAGTCTGGCAGGAGATTGGGATTGAATTCAAGCCAAGAAGACTGACAGGTGTAATGCAAATTGGACAGAGGCTGAAGCTTGGCTCCTTCGAGGAAACTCAAGGGGGAGTCCCACACCAGCTGCCCCTGTTTCAGTCCTGCCTCCAGAGGCTCACAAGTCATGTGGGACCACAGGTAAACAGAAGCAGCAGGGGACTCAAGCCAGTACTCCTCTGGCAAAATGTCACTGAAGATGTCCTAAGGACAACCTGAAGATTGGAGGTGGGGTGGTGAAAGTCACATGCTCAGAGAAAGCCCATCTTCAGTCAGGGCTCCTGCTATCTAGTTGAAGGTGGGAACCCAGCAGGTGACCTCACCCACACCCCCCATCTCCTACTAAACAAGTGCAAAAATCCAGATTCTGTCCAGCCCCTAACTCAGGATTCCATCCATCTAGAGGTTCTTTGGAGTGTGGCCTTTGGTTACTTGTGAAGAGCTGGGCTCTGGAGAGCTGAAGCTGCACAGTCAGGGGTGGTAGAGTGGTAGGCCATCGTTGTGTTTCCCTGATCCAAATAATTTGACCTCCTTCCCCTTCCAATCAAGTCTTCAGGAGCCTGGACTCCAAATATAGGTGTATCACTCCATCCCTAACAGCCTGTAGGCTTTTGGGCCAGACTGTGGGGACAAACTCAAAGGAGAGCGGCCATGCTAATAACCTCTCTGTGGGTAGGTGGCCCTTAACAGTTTACATAGCCACTTGGGTGTGGTAACTTCCCAATCTGGAAATGAAGGCACAACTCCAGGGCAATGAAGCCCCAGGCAGCAGCAGAGCTGGGAGAGTACAAGCCTGTCTGTTTCTTGCCCACATGGCCATTTTTCCAAACCAGAGTCTTAGAATCGTGATGCTGTTGGCCCTGAGGTGGGAAGGAGAGGAAGACAAGTTAAAGCCACAGAGATCCCAACCTGAAGACCCAGGGAGTAACTGTATACTGAAGACCAACAAAGTCTTGGCATGATGTGCTGGTGCCAAGAAACCCTCTAGGCCCAAACAAACTAGGTCACCCGACACTCTCAGGACCAGATGATCCTGGTTTTTCAAAGTTGGTGTGCTGAGCTCAGGCCTTAGCAAGGTTCCTTTTAGCCTCAGGGAAAGATTGGAGGTACACAAGGCTGCAATTCCCGTTCCACAGAAAAGGAAGCCCACCGGTACCCTTCCCTCCCCACAACCCGCGCTGTCCCCACCCCTAGAACCCTCTCCCCCGGAACACTCCCTTTCGTGGGCCAGGAGAAATGTTCAGGGATCTGACCTTAGCTTCTGGTCGCCCCAGCCTGGGACTGTGGATAGACTCCGGGCTGTCTCCGGGTTCGCTGTAGCCCGCTCGGTTCTGGCAGCTTCTCCAGCTCTAAGTTGGGGCGGGCGGGGCTCGGGGGTGAAGAGCAGACAGCGCGTCCCAGCTCTGGGGCGGGGCACAGTAGGGCGGGATAGAAGCTAGCGAGGGGACCAGCATGAAAGGGGACCGGAGCATGAAAGGTGAGAGCGTGTAGGATGCAGGGCTCCTGGGTGCCGAGGGTTCAGGCACGTTAGCCGTTTGGGAGGCGGGAAGGGCAAGTCTTCCTCCCCAAGTTCCAACTCTTGGGGGCTGAGGAAGAGGGTGGAAGATAAACAGGGTGCGGGGCAGGAGAGCTGTTCCCAAATCTTCCCCACACACAGGGCTCTAAAACAAAGAAAGTACCCAACATTCACCCACAGATCAGACCTGGCGCCAAAGCAAGGTATCCACCTGTCCCCAAAACCTGTAAGTCTGGGTTACCAGGGTTCCTGGTGGAACCTCCCAGGTCTCACCTTCCTGGGAGCCTCGTTTGTGTTACAGCTGCCCGGGGAGCTGGCATGGGTAGGATTAGGGGATCTTAGGGGTGGATGCAGAGGGCACAAGTGCTGGACCTCTGTCCCAGCACGCCAGTCTGTCCCTTGTCCGAGGGCGGAGTGCCACGGCCGAGAAAGTTGAAAATGACTTGGAACGGAAGGCGGAGAAGACACCAGGCTGGGTTTGTAGGGTCACAACCTGGTCTGCAATTGAATTAGAAGAATGGGGAATTGGAAGGGACTCTAACTGAACAAAGTGCGTGGTTTTGGTGACAGGAGGACTACGTCTGGACCCGGTTCCGGCCCTATCCCCACAACAAGAAGCATTGTGAGCTCCCAAAGACGAGTAGCGCCAGGTGCCGCTCGCACAGTTTCTGAAAGAGAAGAAGGTAGGGAACCTTGGATTGGGTGGGTACATTCTATGAGATCAAACTTTGAAGTGCTGCTCCGGTACTGACCTCCAGGGGCGCACTTCTTGAGTCTACACAGACCAATTCAGATCAAGGTGGGATTTGTGAAGGAAAAAGTTTGACAAGAAATTAAGCCTATAAAAGTCACAAAATTTGTCGACACTGAATCTTTATTTTTCTTAACTGGAGTCTGGGTAGGTTGGATTGCTCAGTTTCCTATCCCCAAGTTCATTACCACTCATCACTGGAAAATCCGCCCCCCCATAACACCCCCTTTTGCGCGCGCGCGCGCGAGCGCAAACACACCTCTAACTTCCTTAAGAAGGAGGACTAGGTTAGGCGTTCCTGAAAAAGACTTCCTTTAGCCAGCTAGGGCTGTAAACTTTTAATGGGCTTTACTTCAATAAGAGAAATAAACTGTCACATTCCGGTAGTCATGCATCACCCATCAGAGTGCTTGACAATATTAGACATGTCACCTAAAGTGCCTTTATAGAAAGGAGTAGTCCTTACTCTGCAGGTTCTGTAGATGGGGGCGGGGGCAGAAGACGGCCTTAGGAAGAAAATTTTATCAAGCTTCGAGAGAACCGTTCCAGATCAAATCTTCTTCAAGACTGTTAACTTTATTTCTACCCACTCGTCCTATAAACACTGGCAATTCATTTCATTTTGTGATAAGTAAGGACTAGGTAACTAAATCTGAAATACTACTGAACAGGGAGGAAAGCTGTAAGTCCTTAAAGGCTGCCTTCCTAGAACCCCAAAGTGAAGGAATTGGCCCTCCTAGGTGAGAAAGCGCCCAACTCATCATAGGGGCTCCTGTGAAAACTACAGGTGTCCGTGTTACCGGGCACGACAAAGTGTGGGTGCCCCTTTCTCCTGGCTGTCCTTTTAAGGTTGTTGGTGTGTGTCTGATTGTCCTATGACTGCTTATGCTCATCATATAAAATGCATGTGTATCCCAGTCATGGTGGTGAGCTAAGGGACCAGGGGATAAAGCTAATATTGATCTGAGATTTTGCTAGATTAGACCCGATTCTGCAGTTAGACTTCACTTGTCAAGCCTGAGAGAGAAAGACGGTCCCAAGAGAAACATGGGCTTTGTTGGCAAAGCAGAGTTCCTGCAGCTTCTTATTTCAGCTTCATGCTGAAGCCCTGTTAGCATAATAATGAAGCCAAATTAGGTCCAGTGGTGAAATTCAACTTTACTAAGCCAGGTGGTATAGAGTAAGGAATATCTAAGTCGTGAAATGAAAGAGTGGACAGAGCAAGGGATCAAGGGACCAAGGGACCAAGGGACCAAGCAAGGCAAGTTGTATTCAGCAACCACCACTTGCTCTAGTCATCCTTAATAGTTTGGAGACTCGCAAATACGTTAACAATGTCCTTTCTGTACTGGAGATACAGAAAAGCCTTTTGTTAGTGTCTCTTTGATGAACCATGCTAACAGAGGTGAGCCATGCTCACAAAACTTTTATAACCTCTCATTAACATAAGCACAGGACTACTAGGAATACGTGATCCTGACCAAGATGCATATGCTGCAAACATCCATTGTTGGAATTCACATACAATATATAATAGTATATAATATGTGTTCTTTCACTTTTCACACTTATTTGGTATGTGTGTATGTGTGTGCGTGTGTGCGCGTGTGCGTGTGCGCATGTGTGTGTGTGTGTGTGTGTGTGTGCACATGCATGAATGCATCCCATGGCATGAGTATGGACGTCAGAAGACAACTGTTAGAAATCAGTTCTCTCCATCTGCCATGTGGATCAAGCTCAGATTTTCAGGCTTGGCAGCGAGCACCTTCACCACTGAGCCACTTCACTGCTTATATGAGTTCTTTCTACGAACAAGCTATGCTTTATCTTAATTCATGTCTTCTTCCTTCCTCTCCTCTCCCTCCCTTTCTTCCTATTATTATTATTATTATTATTGCCTTGGATTCCCTGCAACTTGTTGTGTAGATCAGGCTGGTCTCCAGCTCAAAAAGATCTGCTTGCTTTTGCCTCCCAAGTGCTGGGATTAAAGAATGTATTACCATACCCCCTATCCAAACTAAGACCTAAGGCACTTCACATTGTATAGCCTTTCTTCCAATATATACTTCCTTAGAAATACAGTGGTTTCAGTTTGGGTGTCATAAATAAAAATTCACTATAACAAAAAAACCCTTATGTTTTACAATAACTATCACCAGGCCAGCGGGACAACTCAT